ACTTTAAATGGTCCATCTTTTTAAAACTCTGTTTTCACGATAAGAAAGACTATATTTAAACTAGTGAATTGGTGGATTTTTAGTCTCAAAAAGTAAAATACCGGCAGAGCGATGAGGACTTAAAACGTACAAAAAATGCGAAAACGAGGCTAGTAAGGCCTCAATACTGAATTTCACTCAAACCTTTGCAATTTAAACACCTGTAATTTCTGTTCCTTAAATTTAAGGGCATTAAAACTTTAAGATCGCACTCATTGTAATATGTTCTTTCAACGGGTAGTAATGATATTTTATACAACTTATACACCCAGCATTACGATAGCCACGCCCTTTTTCGTATGGTCTATTGTACTGTTCACAAATTGTAGAATATACACCATTTGAGTTAAGAAACATTATTCTCTTATGTATGGCTTTTTTTATTCTTTCGCTTTGTTTGTTCCTGAAGTAAGACTCCATCGAACGACTCCATACATTCTTACTCTCAAGGTCGTTCACCAATGACTCCTCAAATAAACAACGTCTGATATTGTCGAGAATCTTCAATATTTCTAATATGCACCTTAACCCTCCCAGAAAATCACTTTTAAACAGAAAGGAGCATCACTTTTTTACTAGCTTATTTTTGATGTTGTTATATTTCAACATCAAATTTTCCTTCGCTTCTCAAGATCAAGTTCCAGGGTACTACATTTCCAGTATAACAAGCAAGTCCACAAACTCAAGATCTCTTTTCTTTGATTCTGGTTGAGTTTTATTCATTAACTAACAATTGATCTCTTCTGCTACTTACAAGGTATTTTTTGCTATCAATTATTTCGTTATTTTTAATTGCTAATTCATGGCTTTGGCAAGAAGAGTAGAATCACTATTGGTCCTATAGCTATAAATATATATCTGCCTGACCAAAAGGATTTCTCACTCCTTATGTTAAGCACTACAATTTTAGACATTGCTATAATGAAAATAATCACAAAATTGTACATTCACTTGTGCATAACTATGAATTTCTGATTTCTTACAGAAACTATAATAATCATTGTTGATACTATCTAAGTGTAGATTAGTCATCCAGTCGTTAATAATTAAATAAAGTGATAAGTCATTCTATACCTGAGGAAGATCGGTGTAATCCATCGAAACGACGTGAATCATTTCAACTTTTTTCCAGTAATTGACTTATCACTTTATTTAATCATTGTTGATCTTATCTTTGCACAACAATATCTATAAAACTCAACCTTTATAACTAGTATGCAATCCTTTTCCATCTAGATCATATTTTATACTTTTTTGGTTGTTTTTATACTGCTGATATCTATTATCATCCTAGCTATCCCTACAAGGCTCTGTAAGCTTAGTAAACTGTAGGGATAGCGTGATTGTTTCTTACTTATACTGCAATTCCAGTAAACGTTACGTTATATACTGAAGATAGTGTTTTCCAAGAACGAATGCATTGTTGGCTGTTCTTCTATCGACGTTCTAGAGGGGTTTTCATGACTACACCAGCTCCTATAGTCAAGAACTTCAATGTAAAGCAATAAGATTTAGAATTGTCATTTAGTAACGCAGCTTACATTTAACAGCAACAATGCACTGAGGTCTTAAAGTATAACAGTATTTAGTTTTCAACGTTTTCAAATTATGTATTGATATATGTCGATTCTGATCAACGCGGTCAATTCCTGTTTAACAGTTGTCTTCTTCGGTAGCACACAATGCACACAGTGAAAAGCATTCTGCAACTATCAAATCGTGTCCAAGTTTTATCATTTATCTGTTGCGGCAATGTGCAGTGTAATCTCAGTGCTACAAAATGTATATTGATTGAGTTTCTACGTCGATATGTAATTCCGGTTCTGAAGTTAGACTCGCCCCGTGTAAGAGAATCCAGAATCCGGAATCCACTAAAAAGACAGCTTTGGAATCCGGAATTCCTATCCTGGAATCCGGAATCCAAATATTCGGAATCCATAATCTGGAATCCAGCAAAAATTTTGATATCTAAAAAACACATAGGACATCGTCCCGCTGACGCCCCTGCGCAGGTTACTGACACGCTGAATATAAAATTTTCAGGAAAAAAAACCCTGAAAATCAGGCCATTTATTATACAGAATCCAAAACAAAAATTCTTTGGAATCCGGAATCCCAAGGCTTGAAATCCGGAATCCAATGTTTCGGAATCCGGAATCCAGCGCTTGGAATCCGGAATCCTCTAGTTCTCTGGATTCTCTTACATGGGGCGAANAAGATTTAGAATTGTCATTTAGTAACGCAGCTTACATTTAACAGCAACAATGCACTGAGGTCTTAAAGTATAACAGTATTTAGTTTTCAACGTTTTCAAATTATGTATTGATATATGTCGATTCTGATCAACGCGGTCAATTCCTGTTTAACAGTTGTCTTCTTCGGTAGCACACAATGCACACAGTGAAAAGCATTCTGCAACTATCAAATCGTGTCCAAGTTTTATCATTTATCTGTTGCGGCAATGTGCAGTGTAATCTCAGTGCTACAAAATGTATATTGATTGAGTTTCTACGTCGATATGTAATTCCGGTTCTGAAGTTAGACTCGCCCCGTGTAAGAGAATCCAGAATCCGGAATCCACTAAAAAGACAGCTTTGGAATCCGGAATTCCTATCCTGGAATCCGGARTCCAAATATTYGGAATCCATAATCTGGAATCCAGCAAAAATTTTGATATCTAAAAAACACATAGGACATCGTCCCGCTGACGCCCCTGCGCAGGTTACTGACACGCTGAATATAAAATTTTCAGGAAAAAAAACCCTGAAAATCAGGCCATTTATTATACAGAATCCAAAACAAAAATTCTTTGGAATCCGGAATCCCAAGGCTTGAAATCCGGAATCCAATGTTTCGGAATCCGGAATCCAGCGCTTGGAATCCGGAATCCTCTAGTTCTCTGGATTCTCTTACATGGGGCGATTAGACACCGCACGACAATCAAAAGCGCCGAGTTTTAAGTTCTGCCGTTATGCATGTTCACGTTCCGTTTGCATGGCTCATAGTGTTATAACGTAAGTTTTTGGCATTATACAATTACTTCGTTAACAGATTTATCATGTTCTTGAATATCAACATCGTTACTCTCAGTCTATTGTATTGCTTGACAAACACGACACTAGTTATATTTTAGACTTGTTGCTCTTCTTCGTCATTGGAATATCTTCTTCTTCTCGCCTCAGGTTCTAATGGCGGATTGTTTTCCATTTGTCGCAGTTCCATTGAGTTTCTTCTGTTCTCGCGTATGTCGGTTTTTCTACACAGTACCTTCCTCGCTCCTTCTCGAAAGTCAGACAGAAATATGATATAAATAAACGGACTGAAAAAACAGTTGAAAAGAGGGAACAATAATACGACGATAAAAAATAGTGAATAGTAGTCAATACATTCTAGGACAAAGTCTATATTATGCCAAGAATACACTCTCAAAACAACACTCTCCAGAATAAATAATGGAAGCCAACAACACGCATACAGCAGTACCGACGTGAGAACCATTCGTACTGCTGCTTGTGTTCGACGAACTCGGGCTTTTCGCTGTTCTTGGTTGAGATGAGCGTGAATTGGTTGAGGTCTAGACAATCGTCTTGTTGTTAAAATACCAAGTGCGACTATTACAATCATAACAATAACGTTTAAAAAAGAAGAGATTGAAAGAAAATTGTCATAGACTTTATACTCCATAACATCGCAATGACCATTTCCTTGATCCATACTAATGTAATACAAATTGTAAGACTGCAATATCATAGGCATCAACCAGGAGATACCGATTACTGCAACGCGTTGTCTTAATGTGTAAGCAYRTGAYMTTTSCAATGTTCTTCTTGTTGCTCTGAATCGTTCGATGCTGATTATCAAAAGAGTAACCAAGGAGACTCTATGTGAGATTTGATGAACAAAAAACTGAGCCTTGCAGAGAATATCACCAACGATACCATCAGGAAATGTTAACGATAATTCGTGGTTCGATAACCAGGCAATATCTTCTCTCAGATTCATAAGAATGAAGAGAGCATCTGACACGGCCATGTTGATGATCAAATGATGCAGGTTCTTGCGTACTGTGTATTTCACAGCGAGTACTATGACAAAGATGTTTCCTGCAAGTGCCAATGTCACCAACAGTATCACAGCGATGCGTTTTGCATTATACTCTAGCTGTGTTTCAGGTTCATCGTACTTGCAATAATATCCTGAGATGTTGTTAGTAGCGTTGTCTGGAATCAGTGAAGAGTTATTCATCTTGGTGCAGCTCTCGCGTCTGGCTCTATCAGCGAAGCAGTAAAACTGTTTCTGGTTCAATTGCCGCTGCCTTATTTATTCCTGACCAAGACGTCGTGCTTATATATATATATATAAAAACAAGCTGTCAATTAATGCAATCGTCTGGTTTTCAAGGTCAGCAATTACAGAATTCTGTTGTTTATCTATTGGTTGGGGGAGCCTTTCGTTCTAATTGAATTTTTGTAAGCTTGGAGCTATAATTTCATTCTAAGAAATATCAGAAATTACATTAAAATCGCGAAATTAGGTGTTTTTGTTCGGTAAATTAACGCAGCTTTTGTTGACTGCACATCATTGCACGGTAGATATTACGTTCCAGTCACATGACCTTATGTTCCCCTGTGCTAAAGACTGAAAAAATATAGTTAGATGTTATGGACAATGATATGAATAGAATAGTTCTTTGTTATTCTAAAAAACTGCGTCGCGGAAAAACATTCTTGATTTGTTACTTTGCAGTTAACTGGTGCAGTCTTCAAAGATAGATATTATTTTTCATTTTATAACGTATTTTTTTCTGCTTTTTGGTTAATTGTTTTACGGCATATTCAACCTTGGTATCGAAAGAAATAAAACATTTGAGAGAATGGGATCTGTAGTAAGAACACGCTAAACGCAAGCGAACAAAACTTCAAAGTCAAACACATTGTCATTGCATTTCATGAGACATATTTCAAAGACAAAGTGCTGTCTTATTCAGTACTTTTTCAAAATGAGCTCATTTAAAACTTTTCTTGTGTTTGAACAACCATGTAATATACTGTCTTTCTCAATTTTCAAAAATAGTTCGACCGAGTTGACGCTCTAAGGAGGTACTCTGGTTTAGATGTAAAGAATAGATAGTGCTACCAAAGACATGCAGTTCATCTATACTTATAAATCACAAAGTAATTTGAAACCAAACTATATTAAGAGAAAACATTTGTGAAAGTAACTCCTTGTTGATTACTTTTCATGTAATATTTAGCAGCTTTTGAAGGAACTAGATATACAATAATTTTTGACAAATCTTTAAAAGCGTAGATTCAAATCGTTCACTCTGATAGTCTTTCGCGTGAAACATAGTAAGAATATTGTAGTAATTTAAGGTCAAGTATACTACAGTATCAAAATCAGACAGCCCGGTGCCGTGTGGCGAGCGATCTTCGCAAACAGGAAGGGCCCGCTCTATAACCATGCATGATCGCTTAAACGAGTCTTCATCTAGGAATACTCATCTGTGAATAGCATTGTTTTCTTTAACCAGAAGAGACAGAATCCCTCATCAAATTAGAAAATATAGGCTATGCAACTCAGAACCAGACAAGTATCGGTTTATATCTCGCCAAGGAAAATGAACTATTTGGCTCGATACACCAAAAAACCAATGTCCTAATACATGCTCTTACACAGATGAATGTTTTGGAATAACAAAAGGCCTCGAATATCAAAGAATTACTAAAAAACTACAGTAAATHCMGGGYAGTTATTGCTGTTCTATGATACGATTGTTTAGAGTACTGGTTCGTATGTAGAAGAGCTGTCGATCGTATAACTTGAGATCTCTTTAACAGAAAACTTTCCGCTATCGGCAAATGCTCAGATGAGTAATAAGCGGCAGAGTCTGAGCTCAACAGTCGATAATTCCGAGTTTTCTTCAATTCAAACTGCGTGCTGTATGACACATCCACGGGCTTCACTTATCTACGAAGTATCGATTTATATCTCGTTAGTATAAAAGCTACAGTAAATCCCGAGCACTTTTGCTGTTCTATGATACGCTTGTTTACAGCCGAGTTCGTAATATGATATTTCGTTTAGAGATCGGAGTGCGATCGGGGGCAAAGTTACAGCCGAGTTCGTAATGTGATATGCGTTCGGGACGCAAAGGTCAGCCCGAAGACAAAGGTCTCACATAGAAAAAACAAAAACAAAACTATACGCGCTGCATTTTCTGACTCGTGACCCGGCCTAGGGCCAGGTCACGAGTAAAAATGGTTGTTATTTCTTGGGCAGAAGGCGATTCTTGGTGATTAAGCCTGCTGGCCAGTCGCCTTACAGATCGCGGGAGCACAGTTTAATTCTCCGTTTTTTGTAATATGAAATGCATGAATTAAAGAAACTTCTGGCATAAAAACAGGATCTAGCGAGTCTGTTTGCATAAAACAGTAAAATAGAATCAACCTGACTCACAAAAGACTAAATACCGATGCCGCCTGTTTAGTAGCGCCTATAGTAAAAACATCAATGACTGACATAATTGACTTATATTGAAAACGTGCTATGAATATTCAATAAAATTATAGTTTCTTAGTGAACTTGCTTATGAAATGTCAATGCCGATGTTGATGGATGTAATTGATGACATATGTTTCAACCAGGCGACTATCCAAATTCATATTCTATCTAAAGCGAACTTTTATGGCTTTTCTGATATTCCCCTTTTCATAAAGTAGCCCCTACCCACCTTGAAACACCCACCATTTTCACGCAGGGGTCTGCGTCACTTCCGGGTTATCAATATTTATCTAGTAGACTATAAAGTCAAAATGTAAAAAACACAAGGACATATTGACATCTTTTACGGGAACACTTCCTGGTTTGAATCTTTGATAGAGTCTACATTTTACAAATTTGTTTTGAATAGGGTATGGAATTTCAGGTTCCGTTTCGAAAAAGCCCACCAGGGTCCCCCAGGTTTCAATCCGTCAATTTACGAAGTCTCAGTATTAAAAAAAAGAAAAATACTCTGAAAATTGAGAAAGAACAGTACTGCTCAAG